ATGCTTCCCTTCTCCTCCCCCCCCCTCCTGGCCGTCCACGGAAAAAAGCCTGTTTTATTTATTACAAAAAGCAGCCTAGACCAGAGATGACATGCTGCAGAATAAGAACATGCGAGGCTAGAGTTTTAGACGTCCCGAAATTCTGAAGCTACCGGTGAATTCGTTGTATTGTCCACAGCGAAAACTAACCCTCCACACAGGACACAGCAAGGCTTAGTGGATGCCAAAGAGGGTAATAGCATATTAGAAGTACCATCACGGAACCCAAAACCCCCGAGAATTCTGTACTACGGGGCCGGTGGTATTGGGGATTATACGGGTGAATAAAAACAGGGACGCAGGATAGAGAGTAAAAGAAATATAGGAAACAAAAACGGGAAAGAATAGATACAATTATTATAGAAGGCTAATGTATGGCGATAAAAAAGCGCACAACAGTGGAAAAACAATTAAGATAATAAATTTAAAAAAATGCCATTATCAATGGTCCCGTCTTATAGAGATCTGGAGGTTTGGTTTCTGTGGCGCTGGTAGTATCTATAATAGATTGTTACCCAGCCTGCGTTACCTTTCTTGCAGTCAGTACAGTGGCTACTTTGACGGCCGATTCAGCCGCTTGCAGTTCTTACAACAATGCTCCCTCGACCATTTTTTTAATTTTGATTGGTAAACAAGTATGATCTGTGAATAATCACGAGGGTAGCTGAAAGGAAATCGATTCCAGAGCTAGACAAACTGCCAAATTGGTTGCAGGGATCATTCTTCCCAACAGTGGGAGCCGTCACTGGAACGGAAATTTCCAGATTTGTTTTTGTTTTTAGCAGCTGAGCATAAACCATTTCATCATATCATCATAGTCACCATGTGACGGTCTGGCGGGTTCAGGTTGTGAGCTCCTGGGCAAAGCGGAACTTAATGGTTCCTGTTCTAGATCGGCGAAGCACATATATTCATTAGCTTAATTACTAGTTTTCAAATCATATGCCTTCCTAACCGCGAGTTAAGGTATAGTAAGCTAGGGACGTCGCATGAGCCAGGAATGGCCGGGTCAATTCGCGTAGTTTTCATCAGTTGGACAGATCGGACGATTATCGTTCGTTGCTATACAATCACCTGCAAGGGCTTAGATAGTTTTCAGACTAAAGATAATGTTTATCTCATGGTAAACTATAACATCAGGATGGATAAGTGGGCACCAACAAGCCCTATGCGATCTAGATAAAGGCCAAGTGTGGATCAAATAAAGTACTGACATTCAAGCGTGTCAGAGCATATTGAGACTGCCATTAATAACTTTTAACTATTAAAAAGCCTAAGAAGTAGATGTAAACAGAATCCTCCCACCTCCATGAAGTAGCTTTTGTCGTCTTGAACCTTGAAAATTGATTATTTTAAAAACATACGCTGTAGGAAATGGAGGTTGGTGTTCAGCATTACTTCCAAGGAAAAGAGATCAATTACTAGACGTATATAGTAAATCAACAGGGGTACTAGCATGACATAATCATAAGATTAGTTTCGGTGTTCATCCAAAAGAGTTGTCGAGACAGGATGGTCGGTGAACGCCACTGTCCTACAAGCTTTGATCTTTTCGAACGCTAACGTGGGACTAATATTTGAATGATGAGACGTTGGGGCATCAAATGCTCACGAGCTAAAGGAACCGGATATGAATTTTAGGTTATCTAGACCTAGATTTGGGCAAGGTATGTTGGAGTACGATAGTCGAAAACAGGAAGGCTCCCAGATGAGAACTCGGAGAAGGCGAAACGGCTTGAAGCATGTTCCTTGCAAAGAGAAAGAGCGTACAAGAGGCTTTTCAAGCAGGTGTCGTAAGCCGTCCCTATAGGCAAGCCTCGTGTAGTTTTCGCCGCTGAGACACCAGCGCGCGAGTGCCTTTTGTCAGTAGGTGGTGCACGCCGATTGGCTGGAGTCAAGACACGGGTGGCTCCAGCAGCCAATCGATCAGGAGCGTGAGGCTGACAGGAAAACAGTGCGCCAAAGCGGTGGTGGCCGTGGCGATTGCCACAGCT